AATGCGCACGTTCAAGTTCAATTAGTTTTGATTATTCCGAGAGAGCTGCTAATGGAAGGTGTTATCTAATACTTTTGTCTTTCTTTCAAATGTCTCTGTCTTCCCGCCACTCACTTTCGACCTGCCCCAATCCGCTCCGAATCTGAAAACGAACCCATCTCCTCAGGGACTCACGAACTCTCCGTTCCGGGAGCGAGTCGGCAGCAATCGACTGCCGGAGAAGCGACCCAGGTTTTTATATCGACTCCAAAAAATAGATCTAAGGCCCCTTATCTCCCTTGTACACAAACATACACGTCCACAAACCTCACATTTAAACACTGTACTCGCATTGCATAAATCAGGGACCGTAATGGTTGTTTAGCTTAGTTGTGTACACATATTGACTTAATTTGAGCTGGTAATGACTACACTTTCAAGTATTTCCCTCTTTCGAAGTAGAACTGCATTGCAAAGGGCTCAATATCATATGCTTGGATCTGCAGTTCTACCTGAAAGCTGTTCATAATGTACAAGTGCCATTCGATTGGCCACTGATTGGTTTATGTAGATAGATTGTTACTTGCGGTCCCTGGTATAAACTGCACGATTCGCTGGGGATTTGGTTGGTCGCTGGTCCTAGCTGGTCCTAGCTGCTTTGCTCCAGGGACGCCCAGGTTGCTGGGCTTGGGCTAATTGTATATATTGTTGCTGGCTTGTTGTTTAGTTACCCCTTTTTGTATTGTACTCGTAGTCCTGTTGATTTGTGCATCCCGTTCCTCAGAATTTGTTGGTTGGCTGTTTCATTTCCTTTGGTTTTGTTACGTACCTTTTATATAATTTAATTTGGTATTTGGCTTTCAGCAGCATGACACACCTAGAATCACAGAAAAGCATCATAACCAATTAAACTCACCGCAGCAAAGGTTTGTGCCACCCAGAGGGCCAGGCTACCGGATACCATCCGTCCTGGCTCCGTTTATTTACCACGACTCGACTAATCCCCTCACAATCTCATACCCAAAATCCCTAACCCCACCACACACAATTGGCCTGCTGATTCCTGTATCCCCAACCCAGATACAACACACAAGACCCAACATGGATAAGGCGCTGATGTGTTGATCTACATGAATGACCCGTCTAATCCATTTATTTCTGCTACTCTACATGACAGCATCAATGTGCGTCCCAAACTGGAAAACGGTCGCATTCCACGGATATTTCCTGCCACCGATGCAGCGGCAGCAGCAGGGATCGCCGCCAGAGATGATCAGGACGATGGGTGCGTATCGCGGTCAAGAGTAGTTCCCTCCAAGCTCTTCAGCATTTTCCTTTCAGTTTCCCAGTTGACATTAAGTTCAGCCCGAATGCCACGCTGCCCGAAATCTTTGAGGCCATGAAGCACCCAGTAAACGGAGTGGGCTTCTTCTCGCAGACGCAGTCGCTCCCCTCCTGCACCTTTGTGTCCTACGACGCACTGATGTGGCTGAAAACCCGCCTGAACAATGGACGACATCCTCTGGATCTGCTGGAGGCCATGCGCAAGTGCGTTTTTCGATTTTAGTATTCGAGTTTCGAGTAAATGTATTCAAATCTGTTTCCTGCAGGGAGCGTATGATCTGCCATGCCTCGGGGGATTGGAAGAAGCCCGTGGTGCCTGGCTTTGTCTTCTATTATGTGGTGCCGCAGGATAAAAACGCCAAAGGTGGTATGCTCTATATACTTAATTTTGATCAACAATTAAAAATGACTTTTAAAACGATACCGCTACCGCATCATTTAGATTACGCCCCGCCTTTGGATGACTACAGTGCCTTTGTAAACGAGTGGCTGGAGATCGAGTTTCAGGGATGTAGTTTTCTCTGGCACGATGAACCGTTGACCACTCCAGTGCCCAATTTCCTGAGGGAGTCGCCTGCTCCGCAATCCTGGACAGAAACCAGTAGCAACAGTTCGTATTAGTTATATTTTGAGGAAGAAGTAACCCAATAATTCGGAATTTCTAGAGCGGGTGTATCGCCAGTCGCACTTGGAGATCGATGTGAACCAGAAGAGCGATCGAATGGAGTGGGGACATGTCAAGCATCACACAGTGCTGCAGCCTAGATTCGCCTTTGAGATAGTGGTTGAGTGGGTCACCTCATCGGGTCCTATTGTGGCTGACTTGGTTGGTTTATACTTAATATCCTTGACTCCTTATTATATATATTGATGATTTACTCAGATTGGCGGCTGGATGCGCAAGGCGAATCAGTTCAATTTCCTGGTATCAGTGCCAGCTGATCCTATGGCTGAGCCTTTCACCAAGAAGTCAGATCCTCTTAGGGGACCCATTTTCATTCCGCTTTGCACTACATTCCTGCCCAATGGAGCTGCTCTTTTCGATGGTATCTCAAGATCTTTCCAGCTGTTCTAGCCTTCGTTATTGACTGTGAATTATGATTGCAGAATTCCCCGAGGAAAGCAGATCAGACAGAATGCTGTTCTTCCAGGAAGCCATTTTGGGCAAGTTTGGATTCCTGCCCTGCGTTTTGGAAAAGCAGTACAACGTTGGCAAAGATGTGAGTGAGCTAACCACAACTCGTACATTTTTCTTTACAATTTTACTTTTGCAGCTGCCCAAGGAGTACCAGTACGTGCACTGCACGGGCAACATGTTTGCCTTGATCCGCTGCGCTACAAACAATTACCAGGTGGAATCGCCAATCCTAAAGGAGACAAATGTCACGCGCTGCGTCTATGGGCACACTAACAACACGAACGTGCCCAAGAAAGTGGGATTCTTGTGGGCGTGGAACCACATGATTCCGAACAAAAAGTGGAAGGCACAGACCATAAACAACTCTGCGGACGGGGAGCTCTTTCAGCTGAAGATGCTAAAGGATTTCCGCGAGTTCTGCTCGAACAGCGATCAGCGCCTGTCCACTTTCTGGACCCAGTCCCAGGAATTGAAGCGCAGGGCCCAGAAATTCGAGAATAACAATAACAACACCGAGGAGATGAAGCTGAAGTAGACCTTATCGTGAAAAGAACAAGTTCTTCGCCTTCTGAATTGTACATAAACAATACATAGAATTAATATAAATTGGATCGAATAACTAATGTAAAAATATGTCTATGATTGTATTCAGCAACTTAATTTCCGTAATTATACCCCTCAAGAATACCTGGCATGTTTCTGGCGTAATTCTCTAAAAATTTGAATTGAAAGTTATAAATTCATATTTATAATTCAAAAAAATTAAAAAATGTCCCAAGGCTGAAGTTCAATACTCCATAACTCGCCTTATATCAATCGGATTTTGAAGTGGCATACCTCTAAATGTTTCTGGAGTAATTCTCTGAAAATCTGCATTCAAATTTAGAATTTTATTTTTTTTTAATTTTTTTCTAATTTTTCTGATGCTATGATGTGGTAGTTATTCAATTATGTCCCATGACTGAAGTTCCGAAGTCCATAACTCAACTTATCTTAATCGGAATTTGAAGTGGCATACCTTTAAATGTTTGTGGAGCAATTCTCTAAAAATCTGCATTCAAATTTAGAATTTTATTTTTTTCTAATTTTTCTGATGCTATGATGTGGTAGTTATTCAATTATGTCCCATGACTGAAGTTCCGAAGTCCATAACTCAACTTATCTTAATCGGAATTTGAAGTGGCATACCTCTAAATGTTTGTGGAGCAATTCTCTAAAAATCTGCATTCAAATTTAGAATTTTTTTTTTTTTTAATTTTTTTCTAATTTTTCTGATGCTATGATGTGGTAGTTATTCAATTATGTCCCATGACTGAAGTTCCAAAGTCCATAACTCAACTTATCTTAATCAGAATTTGAAGTGGCATACCTCTAAATGTTTGTGGAGCAATTCTCTAAAAATCTGCATTCAAATTTAGAATTTTATTTTTTTTTAATTTTTTTCTAATTTTTCTGATGCTATGATGTGGTAGTTATTCAATTATGTCCCAAGACTAAAGTTCCGAAATCCATAACTTAACTTATCTTAATCGGAATTTGAAGTGGCATACCTCTAAATGTTTGTGGAGCAATTCTCTAAAAATCTGCATTCAAATTTAGAATTTTATTTTTTTTTAATTTTTTTCTAATTTTTCTGATGCTATGATGTGGTAGTTATTTAATTATGTCCCGTAACTGAAGTTCCGAAATCCATAACTTAACTTATCTTAATCGGAATTTGCAGTGGCATACCTCTAAATGTTTGTGGAGCAATTCTCTAAAAATCTGCATTCAAATTTAGAATTTTATTTTTTTCTAATTTTTCTGATGCTATGATGTGGTAGTTATTTAATTATGTCCCGTGACTGAAGTTCCGAAATCCATAACTTAACTTATCTTAATCGGAATTTGCAGTGGCATACCTCTAAATGTTTGTGGAGCAATTCTCTAAAAATCTGCATTCAAATTTAGAATTTTATTTTTTTTAAATTTTTTTCTAATTTTTCTGATGCTATGATGTGGTAGTTATTCAATTATGTTTCATGACTGAAGTTCCGAAGTCCATTACTCAACTTATCTTAATCAGATTTTGTAGTGGCATACCTCTAAATGTTTCTGAAGCAATTCTCTAAAAATCGGCATTCAAATTTGCAAATTTATTTTTTTTAATTTTTTTTGGAATTTTTCTGATGTGATAATATTGTAGTAATTTAAAAAAATTAAAAAATGTCCAAAGACTGAACTTCTAAAGTCCATAACTCAACTTATCTTAATCGGATTTTGAAGTGGCATACCTCTAAATGTTTCTGAAGCAATTCTCTAAAAATCTGCATTCAAATTTGCCAATTTCTTTATACATATTTGCAAAAAACTTTTTGCACCAATTTCTACCGATATTCCAGAAAATGTTGAAATTTCTCGTTTGCACTTCCACTAGCTGAGTAACGGGTATCTGATAGTCGGGGAACTAGACTATAGCATTTTATTTTGTTTTTTTTTTTTTTAGAATTGACTGCTTTCTAAATTTCGGAATGCAGATTCAATCAAACTTCGCCTTCAATTGGTTTTGACTCTTACTAGGAATTGCATTTATTTATTGTAATAAAATCAACACGTACATAATTTTCAGGGGATAGAAATGTTGAATGGAAAGTCATTCGATAAGCTTAAGGGTCTTAAATGCTGCTAGGGGTCTGCGTCCAAGTCCGCCCTTGTGATAGGGCGAGTAGTCAATCAATATATGTAAGCACGCCCGGTTGGAGCAGTGGCTGTAGGTGGATCCTTGACTAAAGCTAACCTATTTGGCTCTCATCTTTAGGAGTACGTTTGCCCTTTGTTTTCTTCATTTGTGACGGCTTTGGTCGTGTGGTGTTATGGAGATATTAGCTGTAGTTTACGATGACCTGGTTACGGGTTACTGGTGCTCTTGATGGTGCTGCGTTGCTGTTGCTGTGGTTACACTGCTGGTGATTGTTGTTAAATGCTTTGGTATGCTGGCGGGCGCAATAGCGTTTATTCGTCATCCCTGAGGAACGTCGCCAACTGGTCGCGATCACGCTGTAGCCAGGCGGCGTTGAGGCGGATCGTCTCCACCGCCTGAGATACAGTACGCTCGCAGCCGGGGATTTGGTTGACCTGGAAGAACTCTTCCACCTCTTTGGCGCGCTCCTCAGACGCGAAGTTCTCGATGAGATACTTAATCAGACGGGAAAGTAAAAAGCCACCCTGAAACCACGAATTTATATATGTATAGTTTAACCTATAGAAACAAATGGTGGTCCACTCACCTGGTAGCGTTCCAGGAGCTGTTTGTTGTTCTCCTTAAAGAAGTCCCAAGCCATGTCACGGCCCTTGGGGTTGATGGCCACGGCGACAATTACAAACACAGAGTCCTGAGCTCTCACCTCACCCTAAAGATAGAAAACATTAATCAATATGCATACATTAATCAAAAAGTACACCCACCGACATGGCAAAGTCAATGACACGACGCAACAGCGTAACATCTCCGCAGCAACCCAGAGCTCGCGATATGCGGTCCTGCTCCTCATGCAAATCTGTGGCCCTGTACAGATTAAGCATCTCCTCGAAGATCTTTTCGTCGCCATCCTGCAGGACAGCCTTGTAGCAAGTGGTGCGCAGATCCGCCGGCAGCAACTCTGTACCGTTCACGTGGCTGCGGAAGCGGTGTTGCGCCTCTTCGATGGTATCGCTACTGCGGAAGGAGACCAAGCGTGTGAGCACCAGGCTCCTGAGCAAAGTGTCCAGGTGATTCTCCCCATCGCGTGGCTCCCAGCCAAGGCGGTAAGCCACCGGCTCGTACAGATTCCTTCCGAAGCGATGGAAGTCCTCCATAAGATCGGTGTGCGAGATAAGAATGTGCAGATTGGTTAGCGAGTTGGTGATAGCAGTCCACACCGTGTAGTTCGTCTCGTTTCTGTACGAATCTACCAGAGCCAGAACATCGGCAGTGCTTGCGTGACCCGCCTGCACCATGGCAAACATATCATCGATCAATCCCAGGCGATCTAGAGGCGGCAGCTCCATCTTTTCCACTGCAGGCATCAGCTGCTCCAACATTTCTTGCGAGTAGCGGGTGCGATAGTAACCCACTGTTCCCGGATTAATCTTGATCCAATCGTCCTCGTCGACATTGTCGAGGGTCACCTCCATCGAGGTCTTGTCCAGCAGGAAAGTCTTGGCGATGCCTGTGGGATTCTTAGCGGTGGACACCGAAATTGGCACCACCCAGAGGCAATTCTCGTCCGCCTGCGATCCATCGGCCGTGAACTTGCACTGCTTAAGGCGCAGCAGACGCTGGTTCTTGCTTGTTTGTTCTGACTCAACGCTAACCACTGGGAAGCCCTTGTGCTGTGTCCACGAGGACATCACCTCGCCCACGTTCTTTGAGCTGGCTTCTTGCAGAGCAGCCCACAAGTCCTCGGTGCAGGTGTTTCCATACTGATGACGAGTTAGATACAGATTCATGCCCTTTCTGAAGGTATCCTCGCCAATGTAGTCGTGCAGCATGCGAATCACCGAGGCACCCTTATTGTAGCTGATCTCATCGAAGATCTCGTCGATTTCGGACGGATGGCCGACGGGCACCTCGATGGGATGAGAGTTTTTCAGAGAGTCCAGCTCCAGGGCTCGCGTGTACATGTCTGTGACGAACTGCGTCCAGATGTCGTACTCTGGGAATAGGTGATGTACGCACAAGAACTCCACGAAAGAGGCATAGCCCTCGTTCAACCAAAGATGGGTCCACCACTCCATAGTTACCAGATTGCCTACAGTTAAATGAATTGATTAGCGATTTATGGGAACAAATTTAAGATAACTTTAGTTCTGAAATATTAAAGGTCATGATTTTAAACAGAATCCGGGGAATACTCAAAACTCATCTATTTAAAACATCAGAGTAAAGACATTGACACTAAAACCCTATTGGAGAATCGATTCCTAAGCTATCTGCATACCAAATTGAGTTTCAGGTGCGTCTGCGTCAGACGAGCTGAACTGAATACATTAGTGAATCAGAACTCATCTGGAAGAGTGTGTAAAGACTGCTGGTGAATTTTAAGACAATCCCACTGAGGGATCAGTGAGGGCAATCCCCCTATTCGTTGTTACCGGATATGGGAAGTAGTACTCACCGAACCACTGATGGGCAATCTCGTGACCCACTGTTAATGCAATCGACTGCTTGCGCATCAGCGAGGTGTTCTTGGGATCCACTAGCACGAAGGTCTCGCGGTATGTGACCAGGCCCCAGTTTTCCATGGCACCGGCAGAGAAGTCGGAGATGGCGATAAGGTCCATTTTGGGCAACGGATAGGCGATGTTGAAGTAGTCCTTGTAGTACGGCAGCACCTTGGTTGCCACCTCCAGGGCGAAGGTTCCCTGCTCGCGTTTGCCAACGGGCGTGAAAACCCTGACGAGGACGCCATCGTCGGACTTGCCCTCAACATAGTCGTACTCGCCCACTACGACGGCCACCAGGTAGGTGGACATGATGGGCGTGCGGTCGAAACGCACTCGTCGCAGACCACCTGGCAGAGAATCCTCCTTGATGACCGGCATGTTGGACAGAGCCACCCGATCCTTGGGCACCACCAGTGTGATATCGAAGGTGGCTTTGATGGCGGGCTCGTCCCAGCAGGGGAAGCAGCGTCGGGCATCGGTGGCCTCAAACTGGGTGACACCCGCATAGCGCTCATCGCCGTTCGGCCCGAAGTACTTGCTCCTGTAGAAGCCCTTCATCTTGTCGTTCAACTCGCCCGTGAAGGACATGTGCAGTACGCCCTGAGTTTCCGCTGGAATCTCTTGGGCAAACTCCAGGGTGGCCGTCTCATTTTCCGCGGAGTAGACTATCTTCTCCGGCTTCAGTTTGGTGCACTCGTAGTGGAGCTCCACCGAATCAAGAACAATGTCCAGGGCATTCAGGGTTATCTGGGTAGTGGGCTCCTTGACCTGCAGAATAATCGGTAACCGTTAGGTGAGCAACCCGAAACTTTGGGCCAAAAACCAGTCAGCATAAAAAGTTAGCCAAGTTGGCCGAGAAGAATGGCCAGAACAGTTACTTCAAGGTCGTAGAAATGCGGCTTTCTGGACTTTGTTGTAGGTTTCCGGCTTAAGCCAGGCGATCAATGCGTTCAAAACGAGTTTTTGGCGAAAATAATACACTACCCAAGCGAGGATCAGACCAACTAAACTTCTAGTATATGAACCAAACTAATGGTATCGTAATTCTTTCACCAGCATAATGAAATCTCCTCTAAACGCCAGCTTTAAAAATATTACCAATTTGCATAAGCTCGCAGCTTGGAAACACTTTTGTTGATTAATATGAATAACAATGGGTATGATGAATACGTTTGCTTTTCGTTGATATGTATCTTGAAAACTTAATTATAATTTAAAATATTTTAATTATGCTTATTTTTTGATAGTAGGACAGGGCATGGCAAGTGTTAGATACCCTTCTAAATAGAAATTAATATTTCGGTTTGATCTTAATCGTATTTTTTTATATTTTAGGTTCCTAATGTTATTTCTGTTAGCTTATAGATTCAGTTGAAAGCAAAGAGACCCTCTCATTTTTGTATTTGATTAGAAGTAGCAGCATTGTCCTCGGTTAGGTTAATCTTGGTTTAAGGGTATTTAAATTGCGACCTATGCGTTGATTATCATTTCCGCCGCTGACGTAAACGAAACGTAAACAAAATCCACCGTTATGAGCGGCGTTTGCAAAAAGAGATTGTCTCGAATAAATTTTCGCGGTACCCTCGAGTGCCGTGTTTAATTCGCCAGTCATTCCTTCTGCCGACAAAGAAATCGCACTTCCTAGTGGGTGTACTCATATCTATATCTATAGCTGCCCATCAGTCTGAGTGGTTTGCTTGCATGCAAATTGCAACATAAAGAGAAATGTTAACAAGGAGAATGTCGATCCGATCCAATCTGATCCGAAATATTTTTGCACACGTCAGAGGAAAAAGTTCACACAATGAGGCGCAGAAAATAACAATGCGGGAAAAGTGAAAGTGGCTGGAGCAGAGAGAAATGGAAAGAGACGGAGGATACAGTAGCAACTCCCTAACTGAAACCGTTAACTTGTTGAACACCAACACCGATAGCTTCCTACTTACATTGACTTGCACTATGGTCTTGCCCGTGAAGGTGAACTCCATGAGATTGGGCTGCAGGAGGAGCTCATAGTGTCTTGGCACCACATTGGTGGGCAGCCTCTCGAACTTTGCCTTCTGGGCCATCTTGCGCTCCTGCTCCAGTTGCTGCTCGTTGCTCAGTAACTGTGTGTGTGCCCGCCTGATCTGCTGATGGTTGCACCCTGGATGATGGCGATCCTGACCTGGAATCACGTCCGCTGATGTGTGAGCGAGAATGGCGCGATACTGACTGCACAAATCTCCCAGCAACGGAGCGTCACTGCACTTCAGGGGGGCTCCAAGCGAAGCGGAAGAGAAGTCCCTGTAGAACTGCTTTTGCACCTTCACGAATTGCTTTGACGAGATTAGCGCGTTGAGGTGGCCGCTTTCTGCTCGAAAAAGATGCTTTACTGAGGTGGTCTTATCTGCTTCTCCGCTGGGGTTCGGTTTCGGCTGCTCCGGGGGGTTAACTGGAGCTGTCCGATAATGGTTAGCAACGGTACGGGGGGAGCTGTTGTTATCGCCTGTCGTTTTTAGTAGCAACAAAGGTGTTCTCGGGGCGATTCTGGCGGGGAAGTAGCAACTCTGAGTATATCTGGCGGCTGGAAGTGGGAAGTGTCAAGAGCTGGTTAGCACTGGGAGAGAAGCGTGAATTGCACTGATAAGCGTTGTTATTTGATTAGCTATCGAGTTTGAGGGGCGGGGTATAGGGCAAGCGTTGGCAAACCTTCGCACAAATGCTGCTCGAAATCTGAATTTGCCTTGGCCAAGTCCAAGTTGAGTTTGCCCAGTTCTGCAAGTACAATTACTAGCAATTAATTACCGATTCCAGTTATACTCCCGATTTAATTTAGCGGAGAAAAAACGAACAATATGCGGCGGCAGCGAACAACACGCTTCGAGTGGCCCACTTGGAAAGTGGAACGACTGGAAGTGGGCCGCTAGACCCCCGATCAGCTGTTCCGCCGCCCACGCAACCCGCTAAATGCCAAGCTGCACTGACTGAAAACATTGTGTAATCACCGTTTTTTAACTTCCAAGCCTGCTTGGCCGTGCGAATACCACCTTTCAGTGCATTTTTGTACATGACTTTGAACCGAAAAAATTGGAAATGAAAATGAAAACACTAGCAGCAGCGCAACTCACAGCAGATAGTGTTTAAAATGTGGCACACTTACCAACACTGGCGGCTCGCTACCAGCCGTTACGTGTAGTTTGAAAATTATTGCTGTTATCCTGTATCTCTATAGCCAAATTTTTCGCTTGCTACAGTGTATTTACAACAGCAGATATGCTGTGTGATTTTTGGGGCATAAGCTACGTGTTTGGATTCCTAACGCAGTAGTTTTTCTTACTCATTAAATAAGCAGTATTTTTATGGCCGATAGATACTGCAAAGCCTCGTAATACATCGATATATTACACAATCATATCTATGATTTCCCGCCACTATGAATAACCACTTATCAAATCAAGTGATTTTTTTGTTAGTTAGTTTAAGAAAACTTATCGGATCGAAAGGTGGTATGCGGATTCTGCGGCGCGTTCTTTGAATCCCCCTTTCGCAAATTCGTAAAAACCGCGCGCTGTTCGCAACTTCCGTTCGCGCAAAACCCCTTCTAACTGGCCAGGCAACAGGATCTGCGGCCAGGCGCTTCCAATTCCCGCAACCTAACCCAAAAGCCAGGCGATTGTGCAATCGCAAGTGTCTACTGGCTATATAATCCGGTACCTGTAACCTGTACAATGATCCGGATCCGATTTGGAATGGATGTGCTGCTGGTCTTACTACTTGCCACATGCCTGCTCTCCCCTGCCCATGGAACGCCACTGGAGTGGGGTAAGAGCAGCATCCAGTGGGAAGAGTGGAGGAAAAGAACAGTTATCACGAGCAGGAGCACCTGCTGACCCTCTGGCAACCCTGAACCTCCATTCTGCAGTTGCTTTTTAGAATTAGAAATCAATTGGACATAAGGAATGCAGTATTATGTAATCGCTTGACAACAGTTGTAGCATATTCCCGCTATCAGCTGACTATCGGAACAATTTCAGTTTTATCTCCTTTATCCGAAGACGCACATTTGCTATACATACGTATTTTTCAACTGATAACTAATGGGCAAATTGGAATGCCAAATAGTTATTTCTCTTAGGCGTTCTGTTGGTGGTACGCTTTCCCCTGGAAGCACTTCTCTCACGCTCTCTATCACTCTATTTACTTGGGTTCAACGTGGCTGGCAAAAATCAACCGTAAACTTCCCAAAATGCGCACAGTTCTTCAAGTATCAACTTTCCAATCTGGAAATCCACTGACCATAAGGCGAAGGTGAAAATTTGAAATTGATTCAAACTCTACGAAGACACGAATTTAGTGCCCATGAATGGCAATTCGTTGCAAAGGAACATGGAGGAGTTGCACTGTACACAGCATTTGCCGCTACTCGAGCCGCCATGTGGCCGGTTGACTTTGTCACGTATGCCACACCACCGTGTTTGCCGGTTTGTTTAGACTGCTGGTGCTGCGATTTCTTAAGTTTCTTGAGCTCCATGTGTTTTGGCTTCGGTTTCATTTTCGAACGAAGAATTCGTAGCCCAGAGCTGCGAGCTGCGCGGTGTATAACTTAAAACCCGCTGGCGACTGTCGTGGAATTTTTGAATCATAATCCGAGGCGAAAGATCCATTTAATTCCCTTCTAATCGGGCGAGCACATTGTGCATGTGTAATAAGCCCAGAAGCATATTGAATGAGCGCTGGAAATCCAATCTGGTCAGAACACACAGCCCACGTGTGCACGGGAAACTTTTCACTTGATCGCTAAAAGATAATGCTAATGGGTGGAAATCGCGCCGTGACGCCAATGAGAGTCCATATCGAACTGGTATTTCAAGAGATACCAGCTATTTCATGAGCCATATTGTTGGCTGGTCAGGAGAACTACTGAACGTTCTTCTATCGCTCACTTCAAGTAGCCCATTGTAAACCGTAATCAGTTCAGTTGTCAGGTTATAGCGCACAAGGAGCAGGAACAGTATTCCCTGCCATTTCATACACTTCACAATTAATAATCACTGTCGTTGAGAATTTTCGTGGCATAACATTTCATACCAAGAAACGATAAGATGCTTATCACAGTTGAAGCAACTAAATTTGACACATATTTCACTTTGAAGCACACTATAATGGGAACTGCAACCGAATCCACATATTATTAATCTTGTTTTTCACATACATTTTAAATACGAGATTTGTAATCCACTTAATTATTATGCTGCCTCAGCACGAATGTATAGTTGCACTCAAGAAGTTCACTTAAACGTACCTGCATAATAGGAGGATGTATGTATGTTTTGAAGCCTTTAAGGAATATAGTGATAGCATGAATTAGTAGGTCCGATGGTTTGAACTCGGCAAAACGTTGGCACGAGTATTGTGGTATACGTCAAATCTAGCATTTTCTGCATCGATAAAAACGTTGACCTCAAATGAGAAGGTCGACGGAAAGGTTCGTTCGCAACTGCGATTCGAGTGGTAAATGCTGGCTAGGCTTTGTTTTTGCAGCTCTTTTTACAACCATCGATAATTGGCCAGGTTTTGAGAAATATATGCATGAATTATGAATGACCAATAACTATGTTTGTGGCTCTGCAACTAGGATTTTCTGATATGTTGTGCCATTATAGACCAAGATAACTTGTTTGCCTAACATCTAGGTGCCTCTGTTTTGTAAACTTTGTTTTGGTCTTTCGCTTTTCTCCCCGCGACAGTGACCTAGAAATGTTTTTTTGGTCATAAAACAAGGGCCAATGACCAGGTCGCCGCCGATGATGGATAATCGATCCGATCGATTGGTTATGGGGTTACGGCCTTTGTTTAAGGAACTGATACTTTCACAACACCTGCGACAACCACAACCAGAACCAATCCGATGCGGAACTGTTGCCATTTTGGATTCTGTTCCGCCAGCTGCAGTTTTCTCATTTCCGTAAGCGTTAAAGTTGGAAGCGGCGAGTCAGGATTGTTTGTTTTACTCGCTGGCATGGCCACGCCTCCAGAACGTTGGCAACAGGTGCTCTGAACCCGTTTGGGATTTGTCACTCGGGGGAGGGGGAGGGGAGGAGGTGCGGGCGAAGTCGGATTTTGAATCGGACCACCTCTTATCAAATCTGGCCCCCATTGTTTTGCACACCGAACTTGAGGTGGCCATGTTTTTGTATACAAATTTCAAGGTTGCTATTGATTAGGGATCTGATACTGCTATTAAATGCTTCGGGCTTCGGGTGTTTCAGTTTCAAGAGCTTGACTTATGCATGGCAATGCATCATGGCTAATAAAACGGCTTACATCTCCTTATTCATTATAGCCAGATATAAATTTATAACTCACACTCACATAACACTCCAAACAAAATCAGATATCAGAAATAGCCTTGAATGACATTATAGAAGATTTCCGAGTGATTACGGCTGACTGGGCAGGTCAAGAGATTGACGTTACGTATCAAGGGATTTCCCTCGGCTTTTGCAGGTTGACGTCTTCAGATCCTCGTCGCCTGTTGACTTATTTACAACCCCTTATCAGTCTAGACTCTAGACCTTAGACACATTTTAGGTTCTGATGGTTTAATGGGGGGCATTCGAATCTCCGAGGCGGGCGGCGCCGCATTAAGTAATCAATTAATATAAATAAAGCGCAGTTATTGGGCACTTATTCAGGCAACTGCCTGAATACTGTTGCAAAATTCAATTCGAGTCGCAGTTTCCACAAATGGCGAGGCTTGATTGGAATTCGCGACACTTTTGGCAACATTGATGACCGTCGACGGGGGCTCGACAATTTGGGCGTTTGCCTTTTGATTGAGCTTAATTTCCGCAAATATGGAAATTGGAAAAATTGGATGGATGCTATCTGGCGCGTTTGTCGACTCTGCAAGAAACCAGAAAGTAGTATTGATTTACACAAAGTTGTTAGATATATAGAACGAACATTCGATTATCCTTACATTATTAATGTTCTATATTACCAAGATCGATAAAACTAATTCAGCATAAACAAAGACCAAACATGGGCAATTATTGGAGACAGACCTTTTCTGATTCCTGACTAAACTCTAAATATCTTGAATTGCAGACTTTGCCGTCACGCTGAGGACGAAGATCCAGTTCATGGACAGTTCCTGGCAGACGATAGCCACCGCTGCCCACGAGTTTGACGAGCTGTCCGCTATAACCTTTGATGAGTCGGAGGAGCTGATCTACTTCAATGACATGAGGCACCAGAATGGCAGCATATTCTCCCTCAAAAGGGATCTCGTAGCTGCCAACCACGTGGTGGAGCAAAGGATCGCACGCACCGGAAACGAGTCAGTGGGAGGACTAGCCTACGACCCACTGACAATGAACCTCTTCTGGTCGGACATCGAGCAAAGAAAGATCTTCTTCGCCCCCATTGACGGCTCCGCAGCGCCCAAGGTTCTGGTGGACTTAAGCGCCGAGGGTGGTCGACCAGATGGCGTGGCCGTGGATGTGTGCCGCCGCAAGCTGTACTGGACGAACTCGAACGTCACGCATCCCACCGTGGAAAGGATCAATCTGGATGGCAACAATAGAACTGTGATCATCAACTCCACCATTGATATGCCGAGGGGCATCGTGGTGGATCAGCTGTCGGATCGCCTCTTTTGGATTGACGACCTGAAGGGCGTGTTCTTTGCCATAGAGAGCTCCAAGCTGGACGGTTCCGATCGGTTGGTGGTGCTGAAGGACAAGCATCACGAGCCCCTGAACCTGGCCGTGACCAACGATGCGATCTACTGGACGGATCGTACTACCAGGTCCGTCTGGAGTCACCCGAAAGTGCCGGTGATTAGGGTTACCACCACTAGCAAGCCAGTGGAGGAGGATTCCACAGATTCCACGGACTTTAAGGACCCGGAGCCGGTGAACGAGGACTGTCCGCTGGTGCGCGTTGCCAATCTCAGCGAGGAGGTGCGAGGAATTGTGGTCCGCACCGGTTTCTACCAGAGACTCCAGAAGGACCACCACTGCGCCAGCATTGTGCGCAAGGTGAAGGAGCGCGTGGATGCCCAAAACACGAAGTTCGAAGTACGGTCACTGCAGGACCAGAAGATGAAAATACTCCAAGACGAGCGATGCATGAACCACGGCGAATACAAGCCTGCCACGGATCTGTGCATCTGCCCGACAGGCTTCAAGGGATCCCGCTGCGAGATCCGCGAGTGCCACAACTACTGCGTCCACGGCACATGCCAAATGTCGGAGTCGGCCTACCCCAAGTGCTACTGCCAGCCGGGATTCACGGGCGAGCGCTGTGAGGTAAGCGTGTGCGCTGGACTGTGCCTTAATGGTGGTCACTGTCGGGCGTCCAAGGACGAGAAGGAAGCGCCCAGCTGCGAGTGTCCCGCCAAGTTTGGAGGAGCTCGATGCGAGCAGAACTCCACAGAAATCTGCACCCTTTTCTGCCGTCTGTTGAAACACGAGCCGGAGATGTATGTGCCCTTCGGCTGTCACAGCATGTAAGTTGGCTCTACTAATGAATGCCTAGCAAGCTCTAGCTAATTTTTCACATTTCCCACCCTGTCAGCTGTGAGGAACTGGCTCAAGACAATAGCACCAACATTGCTGTACCGCAGTACCAGCATTTGGAGGTGTGCCTTACGCCCAAAGTGTGGACAAGCAGCGTGATCATCATCCTTGTCATTGGCATCGTGTCTAGCCTGCTGCTAGTGGCTGTGATCGTTCACGGAATACGTCGCCTGTACAAACCCAAGCGCCCACGCATCAGGAAGACCTTTGTTGTTCGGAAGCAGGCCCGAACCAACTCGGCAGGAGATACTCCGCTTACCAACCGCCCACTGGCCACCGAGCAGTGTGAGATCACGATAGAGAACTGCTGCAACATGAACATCTGCGAAACTGTAAGGGTACCAACCATCTTTGTTCGGGGACATTGTCTAACTAGCATTACGTTGCATTTCGCAGCCCTGTTTCGACCCCAAGCTGGTGGAGCAGACGCTGTCCAAGTCCAGCTGCAAGGAGGACAAGAAGATACTCATCCACAACATGGAGGATGACCTGTACTAGAGCGCGGCAGACGGACAACAACCTGCCCCTCAAAACTGAACCTTGTGATAGTCGCCGTCGTCGAGTGCGGATTTGGTGTATTCGAGCTTGAAAAGCTGCTGCCCGCCCGACCCTCGACCCCGTTAGCCGCCAAGGTGCTCACCCAGGCAATCAGCAACTAGCAACCAACCAGCAACATGCACAGCAAAAGCAGCCTACAACTTAACACTCGCCTGGGACACTTAACACTCGCCAAACCAAACCATTTACTTAAGCCGAAGAAACATTTTTACTTAGCGATCTTGGGAGCGTGCTTCGGTCTCGTTAATTTATTCGTAGGATCATTTTACGCCAGAATTAGGATCTTAGCTCAAAGCTTCATCATAATTTTTACACCATTTTTGGATTTTGTAATTTTTACTCGGTTTTTACTTTGAATTCGTCACGTTGAAATGAAAGCAAGTCGCGCGACTGACATTAGGTTTTAAAACGGATTACGCACGGACACCAAGAGCCTGTAGATCTTAAGCGGTCACAAGAGCTTGTGATTGCGATCATTACACCCTTAGCTGTTGTAATTAACTCTTTCAAGTGCGTCATTGTTCAAGTTCCTGTTTCCCCATGTTGTGCAATTTTGATACTAGAGCATCGAAATCTCTTGCCTTATCGGATGATTAATTTCCAGAGCCATATCTAAATGTGCACTTAGTAAATTCAGGAAAATCGAACCAAAAACAGTGGGGAAAACTCTCACAGAAAGACCGAGAGTTGTATATATTAATGCATAGTTTAATTTTAGTCGTAGTCCTTAAGCAAAAGGTTGAATAAAAAGAAACTACATGCAGTTGTTTTTGAAAAATGGTTGCACTTGCTAGCATAATTGGTATTACTCACTCGAGTACGTCAGCTTTCCAACGAAAATACAAAATTTATATATATATATGTAGAACAAAATTGCAGCCAAAAATTTACATTTTTACATAGATATATGTAAAACTCCTTTTAATGACAACTTTATGATCGTCACGTACACAAAAGAATATAATTCTACAGGGTTACCGCGGGATTTTGTCGGCTGGCAGTGTGGCATCGCTTGCATAATTCAATATTACGCTCATTGTGGGTACTCCCATTTTAATATTTTTTATTTGAAATTCCATAATTTCATAATGTAATTGTTTTCGCATTTCTGTGATACATACAGCCCATTTTAAGCTGATTCGGAACTTAAACATAAATATTTCGGTCAAACGAGTTTACATTTTAAAAATGTCGATTTCACCACAGTTAAAGCCTATCGACTATCAGAGCTGCCAGATGACACCACTTTACTATCGAGTAATCGAACAGTGCAGGCATCGACCCGAAGTGCCATCACCATTCCGTATCCATCTTGACAAAAATTTTTGCAAGCGCATAAAATTAAACAAACCACAGCGTTGCGGACAACAAATCGCCACTAGAACATCCGAAAAACAGCGAGCATGGTTAGTACTAGACAAACGCGACGCACCTGCTCCGCAGCAGAGCGTTTTCAAACCGTTTCCACGACATCGCGTGTTTCGCTGGCCAGTGAAATTTGCGCATTTTTTTCGGTACTTTCCAAGTGGCGTTGCAGCGAGCACTTTGCGGCGCCATAAGGGTTAAGGGGCGTGTGGGTGGCGGCGGGTGGCAGCCGCGGAGCACCCCGTCGTGACCTTGCCTCCATTTGGGACCACGACGTCACAGTCGCCAGCCCCGCCGGGTAGATACACATCCGAATTAACACCACGCGCTCCCGCGCCTCCGACTCCCTCTCCATGACAGTGGAAGTACAGCCCTTTGGTCCCACACGCGGATTCTACCTGTGGGTGGAAAGGGAAACGGAAAGAGAAAGGGCCTGTCTAGAACATATGGTCGGTCGTTCGGTAGATACAGATTTGCCATCTGTATTCATTGCATTATCATGCATTAAAGCTATCGCTGGTTATCTTTTGCTGCAAATACACTTAACTGCTTCCTCGGCAAGGGTGTCATCATCTGATAGTATAACCCTATTTGAAGCCCCTATTAACCGGCCTCTTCTCTTGCAGGGAAGCAACGACAGAGCATCGAGATCGCCGCGTTCGGATGATCAGCGCGAGATCAGCGATATGCCGGCCACAAAAAGATCGCGCTCCGACTCGGGTGAGTTTCCCAGCTGTCCGTCTATAAATAACTATGTATGATGGAATGATATTGCCGTGGCGATCAGCACATCGCCCCCAAAAAAAAAAAAAAAAAAAAAAAAAAACAATGTTGTGTAGGTCTGAAAATGAGCTTGGCACGTAGGTTTCAATCGACAGTGCAACCAATCCACGATACGGAATCCACGAGGAGCCGGCCTTCCAAATCGTATTGTATTTTTTGGTTGTCCAAGCATAAAACATAAGCACATCTTATATTTTCTCTCCTACTTGTACTTGTACTCTACTCTACTCTACTCCGTTGCATCCAAGGGCAGCACTGACGCCACTAAATAATCGGTTTTTCTTTTTGTTCTGCTTAAGTAATTGCAGACTTCATAAACGCACGATGAACTCTAACTCAGACTGTGAGGTGTGAGGTGAGGTGAGAGTCAAACAAATCGATTTGAGAGTCAGTCTATCGCCAAAAGTCGAAAAGGGCGCGATCCCCAGTCGATAGAGCAAAATCAGGCATATGTACATATACATATCTGCTAAATAACGAAAGCGAAAGCGAAAAGCGCAATGAAATGCGTGTTGTTCATTAATCTAGGGCATCAGTGAGTCCAAGTCCCGGTCCCGAAAACGAACCGATACGATACGAGTCGACGGATCGCCAGAACTAATCCAAAATGCATATATGTATAACTATTATCTCTCTCTTTCTCTTTCTTCTATATTTCTCTTTTTTAGTTCTCGTAAGCGTTTTTCTCCTTTTAAGTTTGTTCCGCCTAAGACTAAGTTTTATCGAGATCGAAATCGAGGTTCGGGTATTCGAGATCGAGAGAGAGATGACCAATTAGATAACTCTACTACTACTACTACTCCACTACCAATCTACTACTTCTACTACCAATCAGCCACAAAACAGCCACAGCCCAACCAGAACATCGACATTAATCCGCTTCTAACCACCTCGCCACCACGTCGTCGTGTGCCGCCAGCCGGGGACCGATCCCAGGATCCGATCCCGATCCTGATCCTGATCCTGTTTGAGATTCTGAGTCTGGCTCCGGTCCTGTCCTGGTTGCATTTACATTAAGTACCAATGAATTTGTGTTTTGTCTTAGCTAGTTCTGATCAAATCAGATCAAATCAAATCAAACAACGTCCGTCCAGTCATGAGTCCGTGTCCTTCAGCAGCAAATGGGGTACTAAACACTCGCTCAATCCGTTGCCAAACGCCCGATCTGCCCGATCAGCCCGATCACCATCCGCATCTAGCAATCATTCACTCACGACCTACGGGTCGGGCTCTCCACGAGCTTTGTTTTCATAAGCGAAACATTAACCGAGGGTAGAGGACAGCTTTATGTAGGTAGGGCGGTGGAGAAGCTAACCAACTTAAACATATTGTTGCTCTTATTATCGTTTCAGCGTCTTGTTTTCTTTTTTTTATTTTTCTCTTTTTATCACTGAGCAATGTAAAATGTGTGTGACCCTTCTTCAAGTCAGTTACCGCGCCCCAACTCATGGAAATCGATTACGAATACGAATACGAAACCGCACCTAAGGTTGCTTATAATTTCTAATTTTTATAAACTACTCGCCAGCACTGAGCTGGGCACACGCGAGATCGGGAGATCGACCAACTCGCGCGCTTCTTTCTGGAGGGGATTACCCGGACATCCCGCCGTGTGCCCAGTTCGGTTTGCCGCCCACAAATCGGGTGTGTGTCGGCTGATGAATTTTGATTTGATACGCATTACACATTACACATTACTCGACACATTAACTCCTATTTATGTATATTTAATATCCACACTTGCATCACATCACATACACTACGTATCTCAATCAATTGCCTACCGATAAGCGAATATGTTTTATTTGACGGGAGCTCACTCCTTTTATTCTTGCATTTTCCAGCCTTGACAAATAAATGACAAAAACTCAAGCCCCTCTGCATAAACGATAGACTCATAGACTCTCATCCAACGCAAATCAAACAAGAAACCGAAAGCATTAACCTTAAGTATCCAATATTGAAAAGATCGTGTCAATAATAGCGACTGCCCATCGATAGATACGTGCTCCAAAACCCAAATGATCCGCTCGTGGAGCCACCACTATATGATTAACAATTTGTTTTCTTATTTTTTCTTTTTTGTCTTCATCTTTCTTGCAGGCAGCAGTTTTTGTCTTTATTTAAGCGGTTTCAAACGCAATCTCTTGACCAAATTGTCTGACCCACTTTTGCCTTTGGAAAAGACAAACAAAAACGAAAGAATATCAATCGAACAAGTCAAATCGAATCGAATCCCAAACAAATTGCATAGCTGATGATCAACTGAACCGAAACCCCTCCCAGTATAAGATGCACTAATCCCTCTTCCCAATTCTAGGCAAGTCCACGGATTCGAAAATTCCCTACCTTTCGCAGCCCCTGTACGACCTCAAGCAGACGGGCGATGTCAAGTTCGGTCCGGGCACCCGATCGGCGCTCCTCGGCCTCCTGGGCGGCGCCCTGCCCAAGCTCTCCTCGGAGCAGCACGACCTGGTCAGCAAGGCCAAGAAGTACGCCATGGAGCAGAGCATCAAGATGGTGCTCATGAAGCAGACGCTGGCCCACCAGCAGCAGCAATTGGCCACTCAGCGCACGCAGGTTCAGCGACAACAGGCACTGGCCCTCATGTGCAGGTGAGTTGGGTAGAATCCGGAATCAAACATAGTCGTAGTAGTGCTGAGTGCCATGATGTAAACTCTGTAAATGTCTGGCGAAGATTGGGTCCCACTGCTGCAGCTCCGCGTTACTGGAGGCAGTCGCTGGTGGTCCACTCACTGTGCGCTCTTAGCTGATAAGATCTGACCACTCAAACTCCTTTCAGTTTGTCCTCTCCTAAAAGTCGAGTACTACTAACTAATCACCTTTCCTTTGCAGAGTCTACGTGGGCAGCATTTCGTTTGAGCTCAAAGAGGACACAATTCGCGTGGCCTTCACGCCCTTTGGTCCCATCAAATCAATCAACATGTCCTGGGATCCCATCACGCAAAAGCACAAGGGCTTCGCATTTGTGGAGTACGAGATACCCGAGGGCGCTCAGCTGGCGTTGGAACAGATGAACGGAGCCCTGATGGGCGGCAGGAACATCAAGGTAGGCCGACCCAGTAACATGCCACAGGCCCAGCAGGTGATCGACGAAGTGCAGGAGGAGGCCAAGAGCTTCAACCGCATCTACGTGGCCTCCATCCACCCCGATCTATCCGAGGAGGACATCAAGAGCGTCTTCGAGGCCTTCGGTCCGATCCTCTACTGCAAGCTGGCTCAGGGCACCTCACTGCACACGCACAAGGGCTACGGCTTCATCGAGTACGCTAACAAACAGGCAATGGACGAGGCAATCGCCAGCATGAATCTCTTTGATTTGGGAGGACAGCTTCTCAGGTGAGTGTGTTGTGTTTGAAAACGTAGACGCGGGATATCTAATGCATATACTTTTAACAGAGTGGGTCGATCTATAACGCCGCCGAATGCCCTGGCCTGTCCCACAACAAACTCCACGATGCCCACGGCTGCGGCAGTGGCTGCAGCGGCAGCAACGGCAAAGATCCAGGCTCTGGATGCGGTGGCCAGCAATGCGGTTCTCGGTTTGTCGCAAAACACACCGGTTATGGCAGCTGGAGCCGTGGTCACCAAGGTGGGGGCAATGCCAGTGGTTTCGGCAGCGACGTCGGCGGCTGCACTGCATCCGGCTTTGGCCCAAGCCGCTCCTGCTCTTCTTCCGCCCGGAATATTCCAGGCACCAACTCCGGTGGCTCCCAGTCTGCTTGGAGTTCCTGCTGGCCTGCAACCTCTACAGGCGGTGGTGCCCACTCTTCCGCCGCCCGCCCTTCTGGCCACACCCACCCTGCCCATGACCGTCGGCGGTGTTGGTGTGGGCATAGTGCCCGCTGTCGCCACTCTGACGGGAGCGGAGGCCAGCAATGGAGCAGCAGCTGCTGCCGCACTCTCTGCCGCTGCGAATAATGCCGCTGTCACGGCAGCAAACCTCTCGGAGAACATCAAGAAGGCGCACGAGAAGCAGCAGGAGGAGCTGCAGAAGAAACTGATGGATGAGGGCGACGTGCAGACGCTGCAGCAGCAGGAGAACATGTCCATCAAGGGCCAGAGCGCACGGCAGTTGGTGATGCAGCGACTAATGCGGCCGGTGGACTCACGTGTTATCATCCTGCGAAATATGGTTGGTCCCGAGGATGTGGACGAGACCCTGCAGGAGGAGATCCAGGAGGAGTGCAGTAAATTCGGCACCGTCAGCCGTGTCATCATCTTCAACGAGAAGCAGACGGAGAACGAGGACGACGACGAGGCGGAGATCATTGTGAAGATATTTGTGGAGTTCTCAGCAGGAGCGGAGGCCGTGCGAGGCAAGGAGGCACTCGACGGCAGGTTCTTCGGCGGCCGGAGAGTGGTGGCCGAGCTTTACGACCAGGGCATCTTCGATCAGGGAGATCTGTCCGGTTAGAAGGGAGCTGTGGATGTGGATTCGTGGCTCCCCCGACATTTGTTCTGTCATTTTTTACGTAGCACCTAAAACGCAAACGATGCAAGTTTATTATTTATTACGCCAGTCCGAAAACAATCCACCATTGTTATGCGGCACGGCAGCCAGTTTATACAATACGATTATGATGATTCTGCAACGCAGTGATTTAGTCTTAAAGAAAAGAAGTATCCCCGTAGCGCTGCCGCTCGGAACAAGAGAACCACAATTTAGATCCCAACCAAGCACACCGCGGACGACTAATAACGTGTACATTTACATTTGATTAATTTCAGCGCTTAACTTACGAAATAAACTATAGTTTCCCATTCAAGTGGCGTATTTTCCTACTAGCTCTCACATTAAATAGTGGCGAATTTTAACTGGGATCGTTATATCCGCCACATAATTATTTATTTTAACTATAGTTTCAAAAAATCAGGTTTTTCTAATCTGGAATTAAAAATTCCAGAATTTTGGGATTTGCTTTCAAATTTGGAAGGATACTTTCGGTATTTTTTAGTGCCAAGTCGTGCTGGGTCGAGAGCATTTGGTTTCGGAACGTATTTAACATCTGGTCACACTAGCGAGAAGAAAGAAAATAGAAATCAAAATAATGAAGTGATTTCCATACGCAAATCGAGAAATTGGGGAACAACATTTACAAATTGCTGGCGCTCGAGTGCCGCGTGTAACGGTAAAACGCTGCGCAATCGTGGAAAAATCGCTTGCAGCTCGAAAAATTCGCTGACAAACGCAAGCAAAGACAGAGCAGCAGTGGCACAGCAAACGCAAAACCAAAAGCAAAAACAGCAAAACGCAAAGCCAGAAGCAAAAGCAGCGAGGGATTTTGGAGGCTGCTTTTTCGGGGCGACACTAAAGAAAAATAAAAGGTACAGAAAGCGTGGGGCTCCACGGCCAGTCGGACTGCAAGGGACTCCGAGTAAAAATATCCGGACAGCTGACTGACTCGCTGCTTGGAGTTCCGTGTTATTTTGGTCACTCCGAATAGGTTTGTTGGACGGACAGATAAGCCAGCCAGACAGACCGACGCTGTTATTGTGTTTTTGTGCTTTTTTTCAATAACTACGCACCCACACACACACACACACACACACATACACGCAGGCAAACCATTTGTTTGTTGGCATTCGTTATGTACATACATGTGTATATATCTCGATAGCTGATACATGATATATGTGTGTACCTCTGAGATCCGCGGAACTTGAGTGAGTTGCCTCTTGTGCATATACACACACGCTGTGACATGGATTTACCCTCTGCCTGGATGCACACGGGATCCTAATCTCCGTATTCCATCCGTATGCTTCCCATCTCACCTGGCCAATTGGTTATGTAACAATAAGGGTACATAAGTAGCTATCGGAAGCCAAGAACCGAAAACAGATTAAAGCAATGGCACGTGTCTGCGTCGAAAAGCCTGGGCAAGATTGGCCAGTGCTTCATGGCAACTCGAGTTTCAAAAGTTCCGAGCTGATTCGCCTTTAAGGTCGAGCCACTTCCTATGCCCAAATAATGATTAGTGAGAAATGTGCAACATGTAAACCGAACTAAACTGTTTAATTGAACAACCACTTGGAGCTGCAATTCCTGCTTATCAAACAAAAGAACCTAGCAAATCGTTCTAAAACCAAATACAAAAAGTATATAATCGCTAATGTCGAGTCATTTCCTAAGGGTTTTCCCCATTATTATTAGTAATATACAAATTTTTAAGCGTTAATAGTAAGGGCTTATTGGAAAATGACAAAATATTGAATTTCCTCAGTGGAAAACCATTTAATTTAAATCCAAGTCCTGTAATCTTGAAAAGAAAAGGGCGCTTTCATTCATTCATTGATGTGATTCAAAGGTTGATTCACTCATCCGTTCCATCATGGCTTGTAATCTCAATGAGGGGCTGTAAAATCATGTTTATTCAACAATGTATTGAGTTTGAGCACCTGGATCCATTTGGTACATTTAAATACATTTAAATTGTTACAAAAATCGAACGCATTACATGTGCATATCTCGCGAATAAAAGTAAAAGCTGGTCTGCGTTAGTTTTGTATTGATAGATTTTTTGATAGAAAACCTGTTTTCAATTAAATTTTATTATCAGCAATATAAGATCATTTCTATAATAATCGTAACATGAGGTCGTTACGTCAGGATTTGAAATAAATTGTCAATTACATTCTCCTATAACGTTTCTAAATTCCGTTTTATCACTTTTGTACTTCAAAGTATTAGGAGTTGGCAATTTTATTATTTCACACGATGATGAAAGGTATAGCGTAGACCAAAACTACCCAAAAACAACTCTAAGACTAAAAGTAATTCTGATGAGTCACGCCTCGTTTCGTTTCAGAAAACAGAGTCACTATTGAGGCCTCACTGGCGGAGCACAGGAACTGCGGCCCCAAGATGAGCTGCAAGGTGCGGCTGATGGAGGACGGCTCGCTGGACGAGGAGCCGCTGACCCTCAAGGAGATCGCCTACCAGAAGCTGTGCAACAACCTGGACATCATCAGCAGCCACCGCCCAGATGGCCAGCGCGTCCTCAATCCGTGCATCGTTCTGCCCAACGAGATCTGCGACGGCTTCCTGGAGAACTACCAACGATTCAATCGCCCGCTGGACGACAGCGTCATCCGCCTCTTCGAGGACACACAGCGCACTTCGCTCAAGATCGTCAATCTTCGCAACAGTACCCTGAGCAGTATAGGTGAGCTCTGCCCGCCATCCGTGGTGTTCTGTGGATCCGGTGTTATTGAATAGTAATTGAACGGAATTTATACTAACTGCCAGACTTTCAAGACTACGCCAACAGTCCAACTTACATTTAAATATTTGCAACCACACCTCAAAAAGTTAAATCAAAATCAGATGCAAGTTCACTTAAACTTGGAAGTGGGTTGTACATATAATGCTACCTTCAAATTGATAGATAACATATCTACATATCTATCTGCATCTTTATTGCTGAACAGCATTGACGTGATTTGTTACAATTGCAGGCTTGGAGACTCTGATGCGCCACAAACTGTTCGCCTTATCCATGTGGTACTGTGACATGATAACCGTGGGTTCTCACCACCTTCTGGCCCACTACGGCGACAGTCTGCGATCCCTGGAGCTGGGAATCAGTTCCCATCTGCTGCAGTACGGGGAGCCCAACGAGAAGGAGCCAGTGGACTTCCAGCTAACCTGTCCCCATCTGCGGCGGCTGGTGCTCAATGGTGTGGTGATGCACCACCGGCTGCAGTTCGCCCACCTCCACGATCTGGGCCACCTGGACCTGACCTCCTGTGTGCTGGCCAACTTCAGCCTGGAGGCATTGGGATCTCTGCCCAATCTGCACACACTCATCCTGTTCAATGTGTGGCCCATCGCCAACCAGCTGCATGCAATCTGCTGCTTGAGGCGTCTGTGCACACTGGACATATCCATCTCCAGTTCCGGAAATGGCCACGGCACCTACGATCTGCCTGATCAGACGCTGGAGATGCTGATGGACAACCTGCGGCATCTCACACATTTGGATATCTCGGGCACGAATTTGGCCGGCAACGGTGTGGCCACCAAGGAGTCGACGAGTACCAGTGGCTCGCAGCCGAGCACCAAAATGGAGCAGCACTTCGCCCTAACAGACATACCGGGGCTAGCGTCACGCACCCAGCGACCGCTGCAGTTCCTTGGCCTCTATCACACGGCCCACTGGGCATGCAAAAGACACGATATTCCAGCTTTGGAGGTGGCTGGCGATGCCAACGAGCAGCAAATCCTTACTGCAGCCCGCTACTATCACGACAGACCAGTGCTTCTGACAAGAGTTCTCAACGACTTGTACCACCTTTTCCGCTTCGAGAACTGCAAGGACATACACACAGCACTGGATGTTGTGCTCTCCGCCATGGATCGGCATCTCAAGTTCAAGCACATGCAAATCTCCGGCAGGTGGGCTTATATTTTGAAGCTTAGTAAAGCCAGTATTTAATCCGAATTTGCTCTCTATTAGTGCCACGCTTTTCTACATTGTCAAGGGCAGGGATCGATCCAAGTTTGGAGCACTACTGCGCAATCACATCATTCGTACGCTGCTTAATGGCATGGAGATGCACATCACCGACGACACCATGCTGCGGAATGGTTACCTCACTCTCACCCAGTTTCACATGCCAGTCGATGTGGTAAGCCTCGCCTAATCTAATATATAATATTAGATCCAGCTAAATTTCTGGTTCTCAGCTCTTCGAGTACGAGCGTCTTATCAAGATCTTGCTGCACGGCGTGTCCAAGACGGAACAAGAGGGATTCGTTCAGCGCATAGCCATCTACCTGCTGAACACACTCGCTTGCCAGGTGGATGGGCGACAAAAGCTCTTCCTGGGCGAGTTGGGCGTAGTTAGTGTACGTCTTGATTGTCAACTGCTAGCTGGAATTTGTACTTTATGATGATATTCTTCACTTCAGACCATGTTCACGTTGATAAAGGATCGCCTGACCCGCTCCGTCTTCGACGATGTGATGGAGGTGGCTTGGTCCACCATGTGGAACGTAACCGATGAGACTGCTATTAATTGTAAGAGATTCCTCGATGGACGTGGCATGGAGTATTTCCTTAAGTGTTTACATGTAAGTTTTAAGAGACATGCTCCACATCGCCACAAACTGAATGAAATCAGATTGAGAACTATAATATTTACTGTCGTACTAGAGGATCTTCAAGACCTGCATTGAGAAAGCGAGCAAATGTAAACTCCTTGGTTTCATGAAGAAATTGTTTAACTTCCTGTGTACATACTGTTTAAGCTGAACTGATCTGTCCTTTTCTGTAACAGACCTTCCCGGATCGTGACGAGCTGTTGCGCAATATGATGGGCCTGCTGGGCAACGTGGCCGAGGTGAAGTGGCTGCGGCCCAAGCTGATGACCCAGGAGTTCATTGAGGTGTTTGCCCGCCTGCTGGACTCCCTGAGTGATGGCATCGAGGTGGGTGGTGCTAGTGCGAGTGTGGTGGCGAGAGTGCGGGAGAGAGAGATGGCCAGTGCTAACCATGCCTACCTGCGCTTCCAGGTCAGCTACAATGCGGCTGGAGTGCTGGCGCACATTGCCTCGGACGGAGCGGATGCCTGGACGATCAAGACGCCCAGCCGGGAGCACGTGCTGGAGCGCATGGTGGCCGCCATACAGCGGTGGAACATCAAGAGCGAGCGGAACATCAACTACCGCAGCTTTGAGCCGATCCTCAGCCTGGTGCGCTGCTACGAGACGCCCCAGTGCCAACATTGGGCGGTTTGGGCCCTGGCCAATCTGACGCAGGTTG